ATGGACTGTCCCCCAGACCGCCTATGTGTATGAAGCATCATAACAGATATCAAACTATTCTGGAAGTCTGGAAGTATGCACCTCTAACTTGTATTACAAAACACAGTATAATGGCTTTACATGATCAACATTTTAAATGTAAATTGATATAACTAGTACAAGCATTGGGCCATACATGGAGGTTGCAAACATAAGAATTTAAAGTCGGACTTATAAACATCGGACCAGCACAAACTTCAGACCAGTAAAAACGTTTGGAACAGTACAAACATCAAATAAGTACAAACGTAGGACTGAGGAAGTTTTAATATTTGAAATTTAAGATTAAAAGTTTGAACATTCCAGAATTTTTTTCCTTAACAAATTGCATTCTCACCAAGTCTGGCGAAGGAGGAGGAGAATTTAGAATTTAATGTTTCTGTTAATGTTTCATCTTTATCTTCTCCTATTCCAGTTTACTTTTGCCTCTCAGCTCTTCTCTGAACCAGGTCTCTTTGACAATATACCAACTCTGTACTTTCCCTACACATAATTCTCGGAAATGTTTCTGAAATCAGTATAATTATTTTTCACCCAATTAACATCATTCATCTCCAGGGTTTCCAGACATGCATCATTGGAACCCTTCATCAAAAAAACCATATCTCATGCTATCTTCTTGGTCACCTCTTAAATATCCATTCTGAATTCCACCATTTCCACCTCCTTGATTTTGCTGTTCATCTCTCGGCCCTGAGTTCTGTCTTTAACACCATTTCCGCCATTTTTCTGCCTCCTCTTCAATATCAGTCATGAATTTTGCCACTTCTGCCATTACGGCCATTTGTTTGCCTCCTTGATTTTGCTGTTCATCCCTCCACACTGAGTCCTGTTTCTCACTTTCACAATTACGTGCTATCTGCCCTGCTTTTCCAGATTTATAGCAGGAAACTAGTTTTCTATTAGTATTTCCTGACTTCCTATTTGGATTTTTCTTCTTCCAGTCTTTGTAGCACTGGCAGTTTATCTTGTGATGACCGGTTTTCTTGCAGAATAAACAACTATCTTTGGCTTGTAGCCTGTTGACATCACCAGACATCTCTCCTCTTTCATCTTTAGAACCATACACAATTATTCCTGGCATTATATTTAGTTCCATGGGTATTTTTCCTGTTTTCCCTATCTCATTGGATCACATGCTGTTTTTTACTGTCTCAAAACTTTATGCATTCCCTACCCTAGCCATATATTGGGAAGGAGATCTGGTGTCCGTGTTGTACTTTCTTAAGTTGACCAGCTGTTGGTCCAGCACTGTCTTGATCTCGTTTTCATGCTGCAGCTTCTTCAGCATAAAAACCCAGAATTTTTCCTTCAGCTCTGCATCATACATACATTGCATCATACATACACATGAGCATTTCATTCTTGAATTCCACCAGGCTCCTCTTGTTTGGAGCATATGCTTTTTCCCATAACCATATATTGTCAGTATAATATTTACTGGGATCTTCATCTCTTCCCTGTTTCCTGGCCAAATATTCCTGTTTCTGGCCTTTCTCGCCGTTCTCTTCTGAGAATTTCTTTAACAACTTTGTTAAAAAATCTCCTGTTTCATAGTTTTTAAATGCTAACCCTATAGGAAGCAACAGCACAATCTCTTGTAGTAGCTGATTTTGTGATGCTGGAAAACAGCATGCTTTTCACTGCTTCATTTGGGATCGTTTCCCAACTATTGTTCCACCAATGAGTTTCCAAACTCGCGCACCTCACTTTCTCCGGGTTTCCAATATATTTGGCAGCACTCTCGAAAAAATTCAGTATTCTCTCTCTAATACTTTCTTCAGATTCACTTATCTCATTGTATGTGCTCAGGTTTGCTCTTCCAGCTGCAACTATTTTATTTAGATGCTCCAGGTATTGTTGTGTATCATCTATCTTCTTACTCTGCTTCAACATTTACTTTACTATTGCAATCTTTTTCACTGTTTGTAACTTTAGCTCCATTTGCACTATCCTTTGCATCATAATCTGAAACTCCTTATGCGGTTCTGTTTCCTCCATATCCCATTCTGGTACTCAGGTACTCTGTACACTCTGGAATTCTATACACTCTGGTACTCTATACACTCTGGTACTCTGTACACTTTGTTACTCTGTACATTCTAGTATTCTTTACACTCTGGTACTCTGAATGCTATAGTAATCTGTTCATGCTGGTACTCTGTACACTTTGTAATTCAGTACAATTTGGTACTCTATACACTCTGGTGCTCTGTATGCTCTGGTTACAGTCATAACTTATTGCTGCACTGTAACTGTTTCTTTTAACACAGTTTCTCTTATTACCAGTTAAATCAGGTAATCAATGAACGTTTCTTCCTTGGAGTCCTTGGCATTTAACTAGGGTTCATAGGTCTCACCGCTGCTACCACTTTTGTACTAAATACTAATACTTCAGTCTTTATACAACTCTCCTTGTATTCTTAAGTATGTATCAATTCAGATACAACTCGTTCTTAAACTCTTAAGAATGTATTTATTTACACACTATAGAAACCTCTCTACCAAGCAATATTACTCTGTAATAAAACAGTGGTTCATATTCAACTAAACTGTATTTTGGTATAATGTTGTTGCCCACAAATCTTATTATTGTATTCAGGACAAATTCAGAAAAGTTGAATAGTCCCTTGAATTCCTTAAATATACTGAGGGATATAAATAAAGGCAGTACAATCCAGACCATAGCAGAGTAGACACAAGTCTCACTGCACACTACGGCTATGGGTCCTGTGCATCATGACAGGGCACAGGATATTTTATTGTTAAGGATGGAGGGACCAGATCATTGGAAGCTCTGAAGATGATAATGAAAATGAGATTGATCCTGTGGATTTAGCTCCATTGGAGCGTTGCTTAGCTCCAATAGTAACAGTATCCACTGAGGACAAAGACAGTCTCCACCCTGTTAAGGAAGGAGATGAGAGACCAGATCATGCTTCCAGCATTTTTGATCCACCTGGGAACCTTTGGGAGAAAGAGTATCAGTATCCTCAGTCCACAATGGAGGTGATGATTGCCCGTTTGTTTCAACAGGTCTGGGACTTGCTCAAGTGCTTGGAGGACTGCAACAGGAAGCCAATTCCTTGGAATGATGAGGCTAATGTTAAAGTTAAAGGACTCAACAATATCCTCCTGGAAACTGCAAGGAGGGCAACAATTTTTGGCTGCAGGACCCAAACTTTTGTGGAAATAACACCATGAGTTTGATGGACCTGGGGTTTGACTTCGGCGGTTTGGCGTTGGGCTTCTGCGGTTCTGAGCTCTACTACGTGCTGGGGAAGATGATGAGGTTGAAGCTGCGGCTAGGAGATGATCTGTAGGTATAGCTTTCCTGGCCTCCCACAAAATATCAGCATACAATGCCATATCACTAGGGTTTTTGAATTCCAGTCCAATGTTTGTACTAGTACCGAAAAAAAATCAAAAATTATTATTTACTTAGATATTTTGCTTATTTCATATATGTGATGCAATTGGCAAGAAATATATGCTGTAAATCTACAATTTGTTATCATTACCTATCCGCTCCAAGTGTATATCTAGCAATGGAAGGTTCTTGCCAATGCTGACCAAAGAGTAGGGAAAAATCATCATTCCAAGGAAAATCTCCTCTTTACAATAGGATGAGATACACTCTCCTCCAGTACAGCTTAAACAGCGTCGAAGAGACAATCCTTTAAAATAACCCTGTTTAAAATTTATGTTTAAGATTGTCTTGGTGTTGACTGTATCAAAAGTGACGTTTTTTTTGGATGATTATAGATAACCACAGGACCTCCCCCCCCTCTAGACTTTATGCCGACATTTGTAAACCAATAATCATTTCAGTGACAGGTCAAATAATTTTCAAGAACAAATAATTTTCCTTTATAAATGTGTCTAATAGTCCATGTAAAATTATTAAAAGCAACAAAAATTTAAAACTTTTTACCAATTTGACACATAATTCTAATAATATAAACACATTTTGTTTTGTTCATAAACTATTGTTTTTTATAAAAACAAAATTAACAGATCCTTTTTGCCTAAATCCCTAAATCTTTGCATCTTAAGGGTGTAAACTTTGATATTTCAACATTTGTCTTTTGATCTCTCAGCATTTATAGTTTAATATTAAATGTCTGTAGAACACCAGGCTGCATTGTGAAAGAACGATCGTTCTTCAAGAACGACGCCCAGCCCTAGGTCTAATACATCTCAACATCTTCAGAAGTTATCTTATTTCCAAGTTCTGAAAAAAGATCCAATTTTTCGCAAAAAAAAATTATCTCAATAATTTGATAATTTTTTAATATAGTGCGGACTGCGGGCCATGTAGAAGGCTTTAAATTTGACATGGAACAATTTTTATTTTGTGAATGTTAAGTAAAACCGCATTTTTTAATTGCACCAATTAATTAAAGATTGTTTTAGGCGAAAATTTGGATTTTTCTGAAAAAAAACTTGGAATTAAGATAACTTATAATGATGTTGAGATGATATTAGACCAATTCAAAATTCAAATGAAACCTTTGTGTCTAGCTAAAAAAAAAAGATTTTTTTACATTTACCAACAATCTTTAATGTATAAACTAAATCAAATGTCGACAGTTTTGCTAATCAAAACTATATGATCACCACAGGGTAATTGGACTCAAATTTGTGATTTTTCTCCTGCAAATATCTGAACATATAGACAGTAAAAAAAAGGGGTAGAAGAGCCCTTGTTAAATTTTCTGTTTTAAAGTACCCTTTTTGAAAGACTTTAGAAAAGGTCGGATAAATTTTCACATTTTACTCCAAAACCCTGGGGGAAATTCCAAAACCCTGAGAGTAGCCACCCCTCCCTCGTTTAGTCCTTTAATGTCGTCTAGGGTTAACGAATTTATCAATCTTATATATATCTTTATATATTTTGTTAATTCATGCATTCAACATTATTTGTGTAGTTTCATTGTCGTCCCCATATAGTTTCTTGATATCGCTTTTCTTAACTTATAAACGGTATATTTTAGGGCCATGATATTTAACATTTAATTTAATGAGTAATTAACATATAAAAAACAATGATTCAAAAAGTACAAAAAATAAATTTCAAGTTAAGGAAAACTTGAATAAGTTTTAAGATATTTTTCCACATGAGGTATTCAGGTTTTGTGAAGTAAGGAAGATAGTTAGACATATTTGTAAACTTTACATACTGACAATAGACGAAATAAATTTGAGATTTTTGTGAAATGGGATGATATGGGACACCATACCGGAATTCAAAAAACAAAAATTGTTTGTAAACAATACCTAACAGAAGGATGATAAGAGTTGTAACTGGTAGAAGAGCCGATAGAGTCGCAATGCTAGTTTGGTAAGTTATGTTCGGTGAAGCCCTACAAATTTCAGTACCAGGAAGAGCAGAGAGTGGATGTGGAAGATGGAGTAAAGGGGCTGGAAGTGAGAGAAGAAGAGCACAGAGTAGAGGGAGCAACAGGAGAAGGGGTGCCTGCCATGTGCTTTCTCGAACAGGTTTTGCCTATCCACAGCATTTTTATCATTATAATTTCAATTTTTATGTGTTATTTGTTTAAACACCGTCATTACTTTTCCATAATCTTTATGTTGGTAAAAAATTCTATGAAATTATTAAAAATAAAGTTCTTTGAAAACTCAAAAAAAAATCAACATATTTCACATTAAAAACCCTAAACATTTGTATAATTTTTTTATGGCTGAGTTGCCATTGAACTTTTTTTAAAAAGTTTAAAAACACTTAATAATTTTTACAATTTTGTTGAAAAAAGAACTGATTAAATGCCTCAAACTCTAATTTTCTCATCTTTATATCTTTCATCCTAACGTTATTGACAATTCATATTTCAAGGGACAAAAGCTCCAAAACTAGTTTTCAAAAAATGATTTTTGTTTTTAGTGATTTAGTTGTACGTTATGAAAAAGAGTTTTGTTCTGAATTGCGGATTACACTTAAAAATGCGACAATGTTTAAAAATCAGGATATGTTTGAAAATGGAAAACCTGACATTTTAATATAAAAAGAAACCTTTGATATTTTTGATATCAGAAATAGTTTTAAATTGGGAATTGTTATCCTCGTCATGAAAAATAAAATGTTGGTTAAAGTTTTATCATCGACTTTTACTTTGAATTTGGGTCGTGATCCTAACAATCCAATCGTTTAATTTGTGCCCATTTCTACGACGTCAGATCGGAAAAATAGAAGGATTAGAAAATTTGAGTTTAAGTCAGGAAAAAAAATAGTTTAGTGTCACTTATTCCAAATGAACCAAGGTAAGTTAAGTAAAATATATAATACAGTATTTATTACCTTAGTATTAAAACCATACATTCTTAAAGATGAATGACTTTCTCTGAACACAGAAGGATTAGGACCTCTATTAACAATTGAATTACAAATTTTTCTTTTTCAATAAATAGAACATTTTTTTTGTACCCTTTGTCTACACCGAATGTACACTGAATGTATTTCCACCAGCCAAAACCAATATTAAAAAGCAGTTTGACAACCTTTCTTGAAGATTGATTTAATTCTCTATAAAGAAGTTCAGAGCATTTTTACATGCAGTACACGATGTTCAAAGATAATATAATACTCTAGATGTGCTGCCAGATAGAAACCTCCTCCCTAAATTGCTAGTATCCAAAAACTCATATTTATACCTGTATCTACGCGTATTGCATCCTCCATCCTGTCTAATTCAAGTGTTGCTATCTGAGTCTGGTGCACCAATAAAATTAAATTTGTAGGTTACACAAACATACAGCACGTGTATTGCATATACTTATACATGACCAAAAAGAATTATTAGAAATATTAGAGTGGAATTTAAACAATCCCTCGTTATAAATATTGTCAGTCCCTTTCAGCCGCAAAGGGAGTTCAACGTGTACAATAATACAATTCATGTAAATGTTTACAAAAAATACACAGTACTATGCAGTATGATCCCTGGATATATAGTTGTTAAATAACTTGATAACGTGTGTATTTGGTATAGGTGAATTAAAATCCTTATTTATTTAACATTTTAATGTAAAAATCGTTTTTTGTAAAGTGAATACCTTCAGAATCGTTTAACATTTTTGCTTTAGACTCTTTTGTATACTGCAATTAATATCTTGTATTTTAATTGTGAACATTTTCTCTTTGTATGTCATTGTAAAACAAAAACAAACATAAAGTAATGAGGGTTTCAATTTTAGCAATAAATATTTTTCTCAAAATTTGTATGATTTTCGTAAATCAATGCAGATCACATACTGGCTGTCCCGTGAAGAATTAGAAACAATTAGAAGACGACTTTAGCAAGGGTATTCTAGGATTGAGAGCAGTTATATTTTGCGAGAGCAGTTATATTTTGAAACACTGAAATGTAGTCTTTTCTCTCTAAGTTTCTACTTTCCAATTTTCTATTTCACATGTACTAAATTCTAATTTTCGAATTTTAGATATTTGATACTTCAATTTAATCGCTATGCTAGCACAAGCATAAATGTAATCATATTTTCGTGCACTAAAAAATTGTGATACTTAAAATATAACATTACTGTTATATATCACTTAAGGGAAATTAAAAATATTTAGTTTTAAAAGGTATTCTAGGTTTCAAATAGATTCTAGTACAATAGATGGCAACGTAGAATTTTTAACTCACAGTACAGTTGTATTCTGTCGTCACAAGTGTCAATTCAGTTTTTGTGTCCGACAAAATCATCAGTTATAGTGATAATTTTAGAATAAAGTGCTTTTCTTACAGT